AAAGTATTTGAGCTCTTGCGAATATGACATTGACATCTTGAATTTACATCACATCAAATTATTACAAACTTACAAGTTTACTAAGTAAGATAAGGCTATGATAAAAAAACTTACTAATGGTCCCTAGGGGATGAGGTTATGAGCCCACTGGCTAAGCATGGTACAGTAGATAACGTGTCACTCTACAATCAATAGAAACCAAAATGTACAGCCATGAAAGCTGGACACCAATTGGGCGTGACACATGGACTAAATATTACAAACAGGTTTACATTGAAGATGAAGCTAACAATTATTACTTCTCAACTAGTGTTTATAATATGGTCATTATAGTTGAAATAAGTAAGAAATGTATGCTATAAAATATTACAAAGTGGGAGACTTTGAACCATGACATTACAAAAATGTAAAAAATAGTACAATATTTACCCAGTTGTCCTGCTTGGACAGTCTCAGCCAGTGAACTGAGCTTTACAGATGAAAACTACAAATCACTGCCACAGCAGGGTTTGAAAATACATAGTCAATACAAAAATACAATGGGCTAAAAATAGCTTGTACATAGAAAGTACCTATTGAAATAGAAAATTGAACCCTAAAGTGAGGTTGAGAACAGTTGTATGGCTCACTTAATTCACTAAATAACTTGTAAGCTAAACCTTAGTACAGGGTGTCTAACAAGCCTGTTACATCCACGCCTACATCGTGGTAATGCGTCCCGCATTTGAACGTGTACTACTTGACTGATAAATACAAAAATAACATAGCTTTACATGAGAAAATACAATAACAACAATGATTGAAAATACAATACCACAAACACTTTGCAAGGCAAGTGTAATAATTATTTGTAAACATAGAACATGGAAATACCTCTCCTACAACCACGTCCATATAATAATTTAAAAACAATGACTACAAAAGCGTGTAAAGTTATGTAGAGCTTATGTAGAGCTATGTAGAACTTATAACATGTACCTATCAAAATATGTATTACAAACATCCTAACATCCTGTAACCCTTCTTTCAGGAAAAGAGTATTCAAGTTTTGTTTGCTAATCTTGCAGAACGTCTTGGAATGAACTCTTTGTGCTCCTGAATAGTCTGGATTTTCCTCAGGTTATCTGGTATCTTTTTAATCTCTCTTCTATGTACAATTTTCTTCTCCCCAGTCTCTGACTGCAAAGTGTATGTTTTTGAGTCCTTTATGCCTACAACTTTGAAGACTTCATTTCCAAACTCATCTTGAATCTTGTTCCTTCCTAGTAAGTGCTGCTTCACAATAACATTGTCTCCTAAGTGGATTTCATTTCCCTCATATATCTTTACATCATGGAGCTTCTTTCTCCTGTCTGCCTCCTTTTGAATCTGTTTGTCAGCCTGTTGAAAAGCCTGTTTCAAGGTCTGCTTATGCTTCTCCACCCAATTCTTGGTTCCTCCTATAGGACTGACATCTATGTCATCAGTTCCTGCGATAATGTCTACAGGCAACTTTGGATGACGTCCAAACATTAAATAAAACGGACTGAAACCTGTGGATGTGTGTGGAGTGTAGTTGTACTTCGCTACAATTCCATCAATGAAGTCTGGCCACTTGTGCTTTTGCTCAGCTGATAGCGTCTTCAAGAGGTTATGTAGCGTCCTGTTGAAACGCTCCGATTGGCCATTTCCTTCTGGATGGTATGGTGTAGTTTTAGATTGTTCAATTGAATACAGATTGCAGAGCTCATGGACTACTTTACTCAGAAAGTTTCTTCCTTGGTCCGTGTGAATACGGGATGGAATACCATAATGGTTGAACCAGTTTTTCACAAGGGCTTTAGCCGTTGTCACTGCTTTTTGGTCTCTAGTAGGTACTGCAAGTGTGTATTTTGAAAAGACATCAGTACAAACTAAAACATTTTCAATGCCATTTGACGCTTTGTCAAGGAGAGTATAATCTAAGCACAGAAGTTCATTTGGTTGTTTTGCTGTGATTCTTCCTAAAGATATATGTGTGTTCTTATATGGCATTTTTCCATGGATACAGCGCTCACATGTTTTAATCCAATTTCTGATTTCATTTTGCATATTGGGCCAAAAATACTTATTCTCAACCAGTTTATAGGTTCTTTCCCAAGCTTGATGACCACTCATGTCATGAACTTCTTTAAGTACTCTTTCCCTGAGACATTTGGGTGTTACTACTTGAGTGACAGGAAGTTGTTTACTGGTTTTGATGGTTCTGATCAGTATCCCTCTCCTAATGCTTAGTCTGTTGAAATGTTTTAGTATTCCTTTTTGATCCTTGGACAACTTCTGTCTTAAGGCTGCATTTGGTATTTTCTTCTTTCTTACAAGGTTCTTCACTCCCCTAATCTCCTCATCTTCATCTTGAAGTTCAGCAAACCCAGGTTCTGTTATTGTTGGAAAAGGTGTGCTCCATGCAGAAGACTCTTTCTCTTGATCACCTCCATTAGATTCATGATCCGCTTCACAGGTCACCTGTAACGTTTGGACGGATGGTGTCTGGGCAGCACATACATCAACCCCTGTTAGATCTGAGATCATCGGAACATTGTTCAGCTCAGGAGGTAGAAATGTTGTGCCCGTACATTTCTCTATAGAAAGGAAAGTGGCACTCGTCACAAAGTCCTCTTCCCTGTCCTCTTCAACAGGATTCCTGAGTCGAGATAAAGCATCGGCTGATTTATTTGAAGCGCCAGACTTGTATTTCAACTCAAAATTAAATGAAGCCAATTCAGAGACCCATCTCTGCTCAACTGCTGGCAGTTTTTTTACTGTCATAATGTAAGTGAGGGGATTATTATCTGTATAAACTGTTACAGAAGCCCCCAGGAGGTAGTCTCTAAATTTTTCAGCCATTGCCCATTTTAACCCAAGCAACTCCAGCTTCATGCTTGAGTAATTCCTCGAGTTCTTCTCTGCTTTGCGTAGTGATCGGCTTGCACAGGCAATAATACGCTTTATGCCTTCCTGTTCTTGGTAGAGTATGGCGCCAATCCCCATCAGGCTACTGTCCACTTCAAGGATAAATGGTTTTGCAAAATCTGCAAATCCCAAAATTGGGGCGTTGATAATCTTCTCCTTGATAGTGTTGAACGCAGTCTTACATTCTGGATTCCATAGGTCTTTGATTGACACATGTTTTGATTTTCGCTTGCTGACTTTGCCCTGATCATTTAGCAAGTTGTGCAATGGACGCACAATCTTCGCAAAGTCTTTCACGAAGCGCCTAGAGTAGCTTGCATGACCCAGGAATCTCCGTAGATCCTTAACACTCTCTGGAACAGGCCAATTCTTCAGGACTTGTATTCTTGTTTCATCAGGTTGAATGCCTTTTTCTGATATGTGGTAGCCAAGATAAGTTACTTCTGTCTGGAAGAATGTACACTTTTCCATTTTTAATTTCAGATTGTTCTGAATCAAGATACGGAACACATTTTCTAGTCTTGATATATGGTCAGTGACATTCCTCGAGAAACAGATTATGTCATCCAGGTATACCAGAAGACTCTTGAAGACTTCATTCGTGAATACTGTCTGCATTAGGCGCTGATACGTGGCTGGACTGTTGGTTAAACCAAAGGCCATACGTGGATATTCATAAAGGCCAAATGGGGTAGTGAAGGCTGTTTTCGGAATATCCTGTTCGGCCACCTTTACTTGATGGTAAGCATTGTCAAGGTCGCAGGTGGAAAAGATCTTAGCGTCCTTGAGTGCATCCAGAGATTCCTCAATGCGTGGTAGTGGATAATTATCCTTCACGGTATTCCGGTTCAATTGGCGAAAATCCACACAGAGCCTAATCTTCCCATCTTTTTTCCTGACCAATACTATGGGGCTGGCATAAGGGCTGTTGCTTGGCTGAATTATATTTTTGTCGAGTAACTTCTGGAGGTGGTCTTGAACCTCTTGGCACAAATGTGGAGGTATTCTTCTGTACGGCTGTTTAATCCTTTTAGTAGGGTCAATTAGGTGTATTTGATGTTCTACTGTGTCTGTGTACCCGAAGTCCTCATCATCTTTGGCGAATGCGTCTTTATTTTTGTAGAACATTTCTCTTGTTAATTCTTTTTCAGCTTCGGTTCCAGGAAAATTTTTGAGGTTTTCTTCAACAAATTCCCCAAACTTATCAGGTGTTTCCATACTTCCTGTGGTGTTGAGTTCGAAGCAGTTTTCTTCTTCGGAAAAGTATACTCTATACTGGCTGTCATTTTCCTGCTGGGCTTTATCTATTGTCCCAATAGGTGTCTTTCTTCTAAGTGTTACTCCTGCCTTGGATACATTGGCAATCCTGAGCCACTTCTCATCTTTCGAGCCATCAATCAGACCTGGTGTTACTTGTAGGTTCCCTGGTAGAGGTTTCTCTGTCGGTTCAACTATTCCCAAGTCTTGAAAGTCTCCTGTGGTCACTTGAATATGTAGGCAGGATCCGGCAGGAATGAAGGCATCTTTGCTTATTCTGACATGGTGTTCCCTGTTAGGTTCTGGTTCAACTTTAGGAATAGTAAACTTGTATTTCTCTACATGTTGAAGAACATTACAACCAACAAGGCATTCTGGTTTCGCTCCCTCCTTCTCATGGACTATCACTCCAACATTCTCTATCAGCTGTTCCTCAATCAGAATATTTACCACCATGAAACCTAGATATGGCACTTCCTGATTATTTGCTGCTCTTATTCTGCACCACTTATTTTGCTCAAGTTTTTTATGTGAAAAATTCTTATTGAACAATTCTTTGGACATCAATGTTACGGTGCTTCCTGAATCAATAGTAGCATTAAGTTTAACACCATCGATTTCAACTGATCTTTGTGGACTTTCTCCCACCATTTTACACATTGGCACACTTGTCTCTTGGAATTTAACACTGTCTGTTGATCTTGTGGTTTCCTTTTGTTCATTTGCTACTTGATGTTCTTTATTCTCATTCACATTCTGCTCTGTGTGGTCTTTTAAGTTATTTTCCCCAGTGCCACAGTCCTGGGTATATACTAGTTTTTTGGCTCCGTTGGAGGATTATGTGCGTCTCTGTAGCTGTTTCGGTTTCCCCATTGGTTGGCTCTTCCATCATTATTCTGGTAATCTGTGTTTGGTGATCCTATACCTCTCGGGTACCCAGACTCTCTGTCACGATAGAAGTAGTTTCTATTTGCATATGTATTTGAGTAGCCTCTACCTCTCCTAGTTTGTGGATTGTAGAAATTGTGATTTTCATTTTGATCGAGCTGATAGTTGTCCCAGTGATTTCGACTATGGTAACTGTTGTGATATGCTCCTCTACCTCTTCTGTTGGGAAAGTTTCTTTGGTTGTCGGATGTTGCGGAGGTAAAGGCAGATTGTACTTCTTTTTGTACTTGTTTTTGAATCAGGTCTTCTATGGCTTTTGATTCTGGAGAGGAAGTCTTTATTGGTTCCTGTTTGGTTTCGGTTATTGGTCTCATCTTTATTCGTTCTTCAATCATGAAAGCTTCCTCTCTCAGGGCAGTGAAAGTGATGTTTGGACGTTCTTTCAGCTTGTTGTGAAGCATGAGGCGCATCATCTCTGAAGACACTCCACTGGCGAATTGGGTCTTCATTAGTTTTGAAGTGTCCTCCATTCCCAGGAAATCATCGTTGGTGTTCTGAAGTTGTTCTTGTTGTGTCATTAATCTTTGACTATAGCTTTTGATGTCTTCAGTACTCTGTTGCTTTGTGTTCAAGAACTCTTGTAGTGCCGTGTGTTTGGTCTGGTGTCCACCATAAACTCGTTTCAAAGTTGTGAAGATTTCCTCTGGGTAAGCATTATCACCAAGGTGCCGGACTTCCTTTTTTGGCATTCCCTCCAGATTCATCATTATGTAGTCATAGATATCCTCTTTGCGAACTTTTTTAATAGCTCTCTTGGCATCATCGATCCATTCATTGACATCTTGGTCAGCTTTACCACTGAATTTACTGATTTTTGGCTCTTTCCTGTAGACCTCTTGATGTGGAGCTTTCGGAGTAGATGTCCTGGCTTCCTGTGTCAGATCAAATGATACTTCATGATTATCTTGCGCCAGCGATTTTTCCTGTTTCTGCAGCAACATTGATCTATAGTGCTCCTCCATCTGTTTGTACTCCTGGTCCTTATCTCTAAGTTGTTTTTCGAGCTCTAGCAGCTGTTCGCGAAGATGTCTATCTGCGATTGTAGGTCGTTTGGTGATTCTGCTTGGCCTGTTCATTTGCAGTTCATCTGTGAATTTTAGTGGTGGTTGTGTTGTAAGTGTTGACATCTTTTCAATCAAGTCATCAGCTTGCATGGATGTTTCATGGTAATTTACATGTCTTTCCCTGGTTTCAGGTATCTCATCGGAATATCCGGTTGCCATGTTGTGCGCGACGTAATAAAACTATAGAATGAAATACTAGATGGCTAACGCACCAACACACTTAGTTGTAACGTTAAATGAAAAAAAAAAAAAAAAAAAAAATTACCGCCGGCGCGTGCTATATATACAACTATTTTCAACTATTTATGTATACACCATATATATATGAACCATCTATGTAATGATCATACGATGTTAATTAAATGTACTCAATATATCATTTAGTGTTTTAATATCAATATAGTTTACCACCCTGTACTTAGTTATAGTGTATCACCCTGTACTTAGTTATAGTGTATCACCCTGTAGTTATTTATTGACAGTGTCTTGGCATACCACAGTCTATTTATTAAAATTGAGTGCTGTAGTGTACTTATTTACAGATAACGCTTCATCACAATATTGTTCTATTTATTTATAGAGAGCGCTACAGTATACCACCATACACTTATAATGACTGTGAAACCGTTTTATTAGGGTAATGTTAACAATTATATAATGTGTATCCTTCCAGAAAAATTTTTGGGAGGATAAAATCTAAACCTTTGTTCACCCTGTACTATTAATCACTTACTTAATGAATGCAGCTATTCTAACTAACACACTTTAACTAACCAAATGGCTATAATACCCGAAATACTGCCTTGGGATAGGTATTCATATAACCTTAGTTGCAGGGAAATAACACACCCTAGGATCGATAGAATTTGAGTATATAAAAAAAAACTGATAACACTGTTCATTTATCATGGATATAACCTGTGAATACTGATGATGGTGTTTGGAGTTGGGACTTCTTCCTGTTATAGCTGGTTGTTGATTGATTGTTTATGGCTTTCATCAGTAGTTTATTGTCAATACATGTGTTGTTAGCGTAGTGACGACGTGATTGTGGCGTTGTGACGACGAAGTTATGGCGTTGTGAAGACGTGGTTGTGGCGTTGTGATGAGGTTGTTGTGATGTTGTGACGACGAAGTGACGACATCTGACACCAAATGTGACCGGGGGCAAGGTCGACGTGGGTTTATATTAGCAAAATAAGCACAAACGCAACAGTATATATGTTTATCAGTCAAATGGGTATATTCATTTCAATCACATCACAACAACGGGGAGTTGGAGTTCCCTGAAAGTACAAAAGGTACCATAATGTGTATCAACTGTAATACACGCAATACATATAAGCTACAATGGTACCAAAATATGTGTGAACTATAATACTCATACTACAAACTAACATTGTTCAGATGCTTTGAAGCTATAACCTTACATTATTCACTATTTAAAATACATGCAACTGGCATATAAAATACATCAACATACCCTCGTGGACTATTATACTAAGCGAGTCAGCGACTGAAGGTTGTCACAATATTGTGGGTCACTCAGTACTAGAAATATAACAAATGCCAAAATTGGAAAATGTAATGTTTGCCACTAAAGCAAATAACAAAATTACCAGATATCCTATTCACTAATACCACATAGACAAAATGTCCCATTAGAGTAAACATGAAGCCTAAAAGTATTTGAGCTCTTGCGAATATGACATTGACATCTTGAATTTACATCACATCCAATTATTACAAACTTACAAGTTTACTAAGTAAGATAAGGCTATGATAAAAAAAACTTACTAATGGTCCCTAGGGGATGAGGTTATGAGCCCACTGGCTAAGCATGGTACAGTAGATAACGTGTCACTCTACAATCAATAGAAACCAAAATGTACAGCCATGAAAGCTGGACACCAATTGGGCGTGACACATGGACTAAATATTACAAACAGGTTTACATTGAAGATGAAGCTAACAATTATTACTTCTCAACTAGTGTTTATAATATGGTCATTATAGTTGAAATAAGTAAGAAATGTATGCTATAAAATATTACAAAGTGGGAGACTTTGAACCATGACATTACAAAAATGTAAAAAATAGTACAATATTTACCCAGTTGTCCTGCTTGGACAGTCTCAGCCAGTGAACTGAGCTTTACAGATGAAAACTACAAATCACTGCCACAGCAGGGTTTGAAAATACATAGTCAATACAAAAATACAATGGGCTAAAAATAGCTTGTACATAGAAAGTACCTATTGAAATAGAAAATTGAACCCTAAAGTGAGGTTGAGAACAGTTGTATGGCTCACTTAATTCACTAAATAACTTGTAAGCTAAACCTTAGTACAGGGTGTCTAACAAGCCTGTTACAACTATACAATTCAAATATATAAACAAGTATTTCCTCTTATGTGTTTTACTTGGTGTTAAACATATTTATGTTTTACTGTACATACTTTACACGACCCAGTCATGTTGACATATCCATGCTCATTTCTATAATACGCAATTATGCAACAATGAATACACAGAGTATCTAGCACTCACCCATGTAGAATATATCATGCCATCTATGGAACATATATAACTCTATCTATGAACATGATTGCATAAAATAGGGTACATCTAAATGTCGCTCTAAGTGACATCTTTTCATACACTTCACACTAAGGTCATGGCCTATGAGGTAAAAATGACAAATGGATTATCAGATAATGCTCTCATTTAGATCATTTTTTTTCTTTTTGGAAATCAATCAAGTGACATAGCTCAATGTTTTCATGCATTAATCTCATTAAAAAATTGCTACTTTTAGGTAAAAAATTCGGCCTCAAAAAGTTATTGTTTTTGGATTATCCTAATCCCAAAGTAATCAAGTTTTCCTTTTTAGAGGTAGATCATTCCTTACAATAAATTGTAATTTTGCCATAAAAGCTGAAATAAAATGCTGCATTTTTGGTGAAAATTGCGTCCGAATTAGGCAAAATTGGTGAAGATGGTTGGATTAGGAACAGCTTAAGAGATAATCCATTCAACTTGATTATTATCCTACTGTCATTTATTGAAGACAAGACATGGATCTAACAGAACCATTTGTTTTTGTGTTTAAAGTATTCTTAGAATTAAAGATATAGCCCTTTGAAAATGGCTTGCCATATCTTACCTGCTCCTTTCAACCAAATCTGTTCACTTGTATTTGAGTTATCAAAGATACCATATTTTTACGAAAAATGGCCGCGATTTTGAAATTAAGTGGCCATCTTGAAAATCTCTTTTTGTGCGAAACTCCTTTGTTCCTAGGCATCAGCATATAAAATTTGAACCAAAATCCGTCAACTTGTATTGTATTTGAGTTATCAACGATTACATTTTTTACGAAAAATGGCGGCCATTTTGAATTGAGCGGCCATATTGAAAATTCCTTCTCGAGCAGAGGTCCTAGACTCATAAGGCATAAGCCTATAAAATTTGAACCAAATCCGTCAACTGGTATTTGGTTATCGAGTTATCTTCCAGACGGACGTGTGGACGGACTGACGGATGGACTGATGGACAGAGGGCTTCACTATATCCCTACCAAACTTCGTACGTTTGGATAATTAAATTCAACATTGTAATGTGTATGTTTATATTTGGTTTTGTTTGACTTATGTTTACAGAATATAGTAATAACCCAGTCATGCTGATGAACAAAATCAATACCCTCAGTAAATCATTCAATATATAGGAAAGTTTTAAGCCATCTCAACTGTATACATATTTACAATAACTATTTATTTAAAAATATTGATTCTCTTAAAATCAAAAATTACACACGTACACTTAATTTATACTCCGAGTCACATGGAAATAAATAAACACTGTAAAATATTTACGAAGTCAAAAATTGTATTACCTAACCTACATTATGTTTTATGGAATAAACAGGTTATTTCTGATGAAAATTTAAGATGCTCAGCTTTATGTTACTACCATTGTCCCTCACAAAAATTCATATTCATTCATAAAAATCTATTATATACCCTTTAACAGCAACACCTGTATATTGGAACACCTCTTAATGTGAACACTTATTCTCTTTTGTTATCTCCAATAGACTCATATATTAAGAAAACCTTGAAATGCGAACATCTGCTAATCTGAATGAACACTTTAGGCCTGACCCACTGGCATTTGGATTAGATAGGTTTTGCTGTACGTGTATGTGCATGAGAAGATGCTATTCGTTGCTACTGATCATTATATTCATGAATGTGTATGGCAGTCAATCAAGTTGCCAGATATGATCACATAACATTGATGTTAACATTGATTATATATGGCATGTATCTCAACTTCAGCTTTCATTTGGGACTGATGGTTACCTTTATCTATTTACTGGAGATGGTGGTTCCGCTAAGGATCCTTTGGGAAGTGGCCAAGATAAGTAAGAATAAGAATGGCAAATATAGCTATTCAATGATTCTTTGAATAGTGGTAAATAGTAAAAGAATTCAAGAATCCCTTAAGAAAGGCTAAAAAAAAAATTCTCAAATTATTATAATTCATACTGTCGACCTAGAAAGTTACACATGGAAGACCTTTTCAACAAGTAAAAGTTGTAAAAATTAAAAAATCAAGACACGTGAAGTGAATGAGATCACACCGATAAAAAACCTTCCAAATGGCTACCAGAAAACAAAAACATAACAAAAGCTCTAGAACTTGATATCCTCTATCATGTGCGCAAATTTGGAGAAATCCGATAAGCAGTTTTCCTGAAATGGCGAAGACAAGATTTATTGAAAACCCTTCAAAATGGCCATCAGAAAACAAGATGGCCACACAAAAGACAATAAGCTCGAGAACTTGATATCCTCTATCAGGAGAAAATATGATGAGCAGTTTTCCTGAAACCTCGATGACAAAAAAACGGGACAATCACGATGACGATCACAATCATGATCACGATAATGATGTGATTAAAAGTCATAATCAATGTTTAATGTATGCATGACATGTTATTTTATGATGGCATATTTTACCTTTCACTGTTCAACCCTTATGCATAAGAGATGGTGTCCAAATGTTGGAAATTGTGGAAAAATTAAGTTAAGTTTAACCCCCCTCCCAATATAATGAAATCTAAAATTGCTGATTTGCATTGACTGGAAAACCAGTTCTCCCCCTAATGTAATTGACTTTATCTTTCCCCAAATGTTGACATTAAGACACCATCCCTTTCACAATACATAAAACATATTTCAGAGGGTCACTTCTGGGGAAAGTACTTCGAATTGATGTGAGTAACACATCAGTACCATATACTATACCACCTGGCAACCCATTCATCAGTGAGACTGGGACCAGACCTGAAATATATGCATATGGGATGCGCAATCCATGGAGGGCAGATTTTGATGATGGCAACCTAAAGACAGGTAATAATAAATGATATACATGCATATATGCAATTTAATGCAATTAACCCATAGCTAGGCACAGGTATTCACTTCAATAGAATTAAATATTTGTATATTATACAATACAATATGATGAATTATAATATAATCCATTATCATATTATAATAAACTGATTAAGATCTTTAAATTGTGAATGTCTGAGTACCTGAACCTCTTAGAAAACATCCAAACATATCAAAAAGTGAAGATGGGTCAATTTGATTCTCGTTCTGCGAAGATATTTAATAAAATAGTTAAATGTTCGGAGTCGTTTTAATGCTGTAAATTGTTCACAATTCTAAATCAAGAAGTCGCTCGTATTTCTGTCGTATTTAGGAAATCATGTTGCCAAAAATCAGTGCACAGTTTTCATGGTGTTGTTGTAAAATGTGCGTATATAACGTTTGAAACCCTCTCTAACGCAATTTTATTAGGAACTAACACCTTAGGGTTAAACTTTTGCTCGAGGAATTAACTCATTTTCATCAATAAATATTAACCCATCAGATTTTCTACTAGTAAACTAACGTTTAAACCTCAGTCCATTGTTGTTATCACTTACTACTAAATCCAAGTGAGATATGGCTCTTGCCTCAGCACGAGCCAATAATGTGCGGTATACTTTTTTAAGTCTTTTTACAGGTAGAAACAGGGGTCGTATATTTGTGGCTGATGTTGGTCAGTGGAAATGGGAAGAAGTTGACCTTCTGAAAAAAGGTGGTAATTTTGGATGGAACAGTAGAGAGGGCTATGAATGTTTCACCAGTCAATGTGGCAAAATAGGACCAGAAATTCTCCCAATATTTGCTTATGACCATAAAGAAGGGGTTTCCATTGATGGAATCCAACTCTATAGGGGCGCTAGAAATCCAAATTATGAGGGATCCCTGATAGTTGGCGATCTTGAGTTTCCTAGATTTGGGTAAATATTTTAGATTTAGAGCACATGATACAACTTTTGCTTCCTGAAACTATCTATTGTGCTTATTCCATTTTGCTTACTTGTGAATAATGTATCCTGCAAATACAGGGTGGCCAAAAAAAGACCAAAAACAATAATGCCCATATGATTAATGTCGTCAAAACTAGAGTAGATTTCCTGGCCTGACTTCGTCGGTAGAACTTGAAAAATAAGATTTATCTGAAGATTAGGAGTATAACTTACCCTCTAGAGGTTAGAACACACATTTTAATGAAACCATATCAGCTATGTTTTGTACATGATGAAGCATAAGCACAGTACTTGATTGAAATTTGTGGTAATGCTTTTTGAACTTTTCCATTTTCCTCGTGTTTACTCCTGGGACTGCTTTGCCTCTATCACGAAATACTGTATTGACCTTGACCTTTAATTTTGTGACATATCATCCAACCATGTCTCATGTAAAAATAATTAAAATATTTGAAGATAATGTTTTGTGGTCTCTTCTGCAGACGAGTTTAGGACAGGGCAGGGGAGGATGGCCTGTTCTAAGACAGAAAAAGTGCATGATCTACAGTTAAACTATTGGTCTGAATGAAATGCTGCGCGGAAAGTATGAATGGGTCGTCAGCTGTATTAGTCTATTAATATTCTAGGACCTGTTTGTGATGCTTTATAATTTAGACCAAAGTGTAGACAAATTCACGCACGTGTAAATTATAAAATCAACGAACAAAGATTCATTTTTCTCAAATGTTCGGTAATTTATCGTATTGAAACTTCTGGAACTTACTAGGAAATCATTCATTTTCACGATCCATAATTTACCTCTTGGATATTGTGCTAAATGCTCTATAGTTGACGCAACAAGGGTGATAGAGTTTCATTAAAATGTGTGTTCTAACCTCTAGAGGGTAAGTAAGACTCCTAATCTTCAGGTAAATCTTATTTTTCAAGTTCTACCGACGAAGTCAGGCCATGAAATCTACTCTACATGATATTTAACAAGTGATACATAACAAGTGCAGTCCAGTCTATAGCTGGCAAGTTTCAAACAAAACAGTCTGGATGATAAATGGACCAGGATTTCTTTGAAAATACCAAAGAAGTACAAAGTCAACTAATATATCATACTTAATATTAGAAAATTGCCCAAAACAGTAATTCAAAGACTCCAAGATTATTGAAGATTTCAGTCATTTAAGTTTCCTTTCTTAATGATTTGAATCCCTGTGCTTTCTGATTGAAGGAGGACACTTTGGAAGTTGACTGATATAGGGGCAGCCAATTGGACCAGTAAAAAAATTGGAGTTTGTAGTGACAGTGTGTGTGATACAAGTCTGGGATATGCTAGTAATGCGCAAACTCTTGATGGGAGACTGCTTTCCTTTGGAAAAGACCAAAACAGTAAGTTTGGTTATTTCATTGATGTAAATAAATTAGTGTTTTGATTAATCTTTTAATGCAGGGCCCTTGAAGATCCAGAAGAAATGTTTAAAGGAGATGTCAAGCCATGCCATAATGAAAAATGAGATATTAGTTTTGTTGGTGTAGGGGCCACAATAGTTGCATTTCGCTGTTTTTGCTGTGCACTTTTGATATTGATATATTGAAATCAATTCATGGTGTAAAAATGAAATCACTCAATATCCTTTACTAATCAGAATCTTTCAATAATTTTCTTTAACACTGCTACTTCCAATATAATATATGATAATAGGCTGATATATAATTCCAGGTGAACTCTACATCCTCCATGGCATGGCATCAGGCTCAGTCATACAAAGATTTGCAGATCCCTTCAGGTAGGATTCTCTAAATATTGACTTATTGAAAATATTAAAAATCAAAAATATGACTTGAATTTAAACTTGAATTTTTATTTGGCATAAGAAGATACAGAGGCTTGATACAAGACCCTTAAAAATCCAATTGTTATCAAACTTTGTTTTGTAGGAGAACAGATCCAATAGGAACCAAAATAGGTAATTTAAAATTTTCAATTTTGCAATAGTAAGGAGAACCCATTGAAAAACATATACATACACTGTACCTTGGTTTATTCCCTTTGATTGTCTGATTGATAGTTTTGATTGTTTTTGACTTTTGTAGTTTCTCAAAACCTACTCCTTTCTTTCTTCTTTCCTTTTCACACCTCTTTTCCTTTATATATTTCTCTCTACATTTTTTCTTTTTTCTTTCCTTCTATCCTTTCTTCCACTTCATCATTACTTCCTTCCTTCCTTTCATTTCATTCTATGTTTCTTTCATTTCTCTTTTTTCATTTCTTCATCACTTTTTTGCTTCCTTCATGTCTTTCTTCTTCCTTTCTCTCCTCTACAACTCCCCTTTCTGATGAGTCATTTCTTTGACAGTTCTCCTTATGAAATCACTACTTTCTGTAACTAAATACAAGAGCTCATGTGTTGTTACAGTTTGCAGACTGGATGTGGTAGTAGCAGTAGAAATGTCATGCAATGATGATACCTATATGGCAAAAGTGAAGGCTAGTCTAATCTCGATAGTCATGAACATGAAGTTTGGTTACAAGCTGACTGTTATAATTTTTGCTAAAAATATCAAAGTTGAAATTGAAACACTGATTGATGAATCCATAACCTTGAAAGACATCTTTGAGCTAATGGACAATAAAATTAAAATTTGCATTAAACGGCAAAAAAGAAAACCAGCCAACCTGAAAAGACTGTTATCAAAGGCAAATAGTTATATAGGACAATGGCCCCCAGAGCGCACCATATTCATTGTTATTGTGAAGAGTGAGAACAATATACCAAAACAAAACAGAAAGATCAGATTATTACAGACGCAGGCCATGCTAACATTTGTTACACCAAGCACCAACGCAACTGTATTGTCGAAGCTGGAAACTCTGTCTGGTAATCCTGTAATTTCATTGGATGCTGCAGGTTTTAAGACATCACCAGTCTTGCAGCCTGGTGTTGGCTTCATAGTCATCAGGAGTATTGATATGAAGCAATGCACAGCTGGTGGAAACCAGGGATCCAATACTGCCTAGCCAGCCCAATAATCAGTGATACAAGGAAACACAACATAAAATCATATTTTAAATTCCATAATATAATGTGATTAAACAAAAGTTTCATCAGGATGGTAATTTCCATCAAGAACTCAAAACTATTTGTCTTCTTTATTTCCTCGACTTGGGAGTAACAATGTTTCAAAAACCATCAATATTTCATTTTACGATATATCTGATATATTTAAATAAATACAATTTATTGTCAATTCTATGTTTTTGTTACTCCCTTAAATATAAATAGATTTATTTACCTCGAACTAAGTACTGCTGACGTTGAACAAATCTTGGAGGAATTCTATAGATGTCAGCCTTGACTGTAGTTGGGCATTTTGTTGCTAGTAGACCACTTTTACAGAGACACCTATTAGGGGCAATACAATGGCCCTCCCCACATGGCTGTATACACACAGCTGAAATCAAAATCATAATAATGAATTATAAGTTCATAAGTAATAAGTTCATTTCTATGCTTTTAATACTGGATGACTATTGTATGTTTGCTTTTCTGATCAATTGGTGTTTGTAAACTTGGCTGTTTAAAATTGCAATACATGCAGTTGATTAATATTGTCTTTATTTACCCTGACATATACCAATGCAATATTTTCTCATTTTTATTAAAAGTTACACCATTGTGGACATACAGACATTTGTCTTAGGGTTATTCTTAAATGTTATCTCTATTGATTGCACCAGTGATATTGCTGATATCTCCCAGAACTTTGTGATATTTTCCATATTTGCATGATATCAACAAAGCACTAACTTAAATGATAAACTATTATGATTTTCATGCAAAATCATTATTATACATAGGTCAAATAGTGTATTCTGTTAAATAGAGACTTTTCTCAAAACAAAAACAAAACAATACAATTATAGTAGTAGTGGGATAAACCCAATACAAGATGACTTCCACAACATCATTTTATGGACTCATAGATAAAATTAATATGTACAATGTATTCAAAATAATCTGATATTCTCTATCCAGAAAATCAGTTCCAAATTGGTATTTGCCACTGTGTTTGAGTGACTCCCTGGTCTATTACATTACAATATAATTTGTTCAATTGTTCATTTTCTTATAATGATGATTGATGACATCAAAACCAACAAGATTATTGACACACTGCTTTAAAAAGCTATCTAAAATAAACAATCAATAATATTTATTAGTAAATGACACTTGAAATGAAAATATAAAATACTTTGATACAAATGTAGTTACTCATATGCACCTCTCAATGGTTGAACAGCTTCAAAATTATACAGTAAAACTATCTTATCTCTAAAGACAGGTGAATAGGCAACTCCAGAAGTGTTCTTATTGATGTTTTATCATCAGATTTTTCATTTGTTTCAGTACATTCAAGCTAATACACAAAGGGCCTCATTGACAGTGGCATTGTAGGTGTCCCCTGGATGAGGAAGTGATTAGTGATGTGTAGAAATACAAAGGTTTTACAGTAGTTAAAAGGACCACCTCCTTGCAAGATTGACTTATATTGACATAAATGCTTCTTTATTTTAGACTCATATCATCTTCACCTTAAAACAGATGGTCCAAAGTCAGGAAATACCATTTAAGCAGTCATTAGCTTTGTATTCTTAGTTACTGTAGATGTTCTAGGCACTCTCAATTCCCACTGGACAGCCTGACTATTACACTGTTATTTCATAGTTCCCCATAGCTGATCTTAAAATCCCAAATGCAGTTTTAACAGCCATTTATGAATTGAATGTTACATATTGTGTATGGACATAAGTATGAGATGTATCGTTTATTTGTGTCTTTATATAAGATAATTATATAACATAAATAGTATATATAGGAGGCTAGCTATAAGTATACACGACAGGCTTTTGTACAACTGTTGACCACTCAGTCAAACATCTTGAATTTCTTACTGACAGTAATTATATACATGTACAGTGATATGATACTTCTGACCATATACAATTAAACTCATGGAAACAAAAGCAAAGACAACAAAAATGCCCATGAAATAAAATTAATTAGGCCTACTTGATTTATTAGACATTGATCATTTATCATTTATCATAAGCTATTATTAAGATATTATGAGTAACATATATATTATTGAATACAAACTTGTCCTTTATAGTTAATGCACTTGTTCACTCAAGGCAGAGTAAAATAAGCAATACTGGAGAATTTGAGTATTGAACTCATAGCATCTGTTTAGTGGTGCCTTCATGTCCTTCTTCCTCCTTCCTCGAAACCTTTTCCATAAAGTAACTTTTTAAGAGATAATTATTTTTATTTAATTTGAAATCATGTACTATTGCAATTTTATACCAAAATGAAAAAGGTATTAACATTTCACAACCTGCCATTTGTTACAGATACCAACTGCCAAACACACCAAAAAACATCCACGAAAAACTTGGTGGTGTTATACTTGGTATTTGAGGTTTATAGTGCAGATTTCAACAAATACTAACCTGGGATGATCCTAATATCCTGAATCTCATATAGGATAATTTCTACATTCCCAATATGTGGAATGTGCTTTGTATAATGATGTAGTAATCTGCCTGTATATGCAGTCTAAACATAAAACTATCAGACACATGAACCAAACATAAAATTTGAAAAATATGGTAATTTAAAACCACTCAGTTGTTAAAATACAGATACATATGGCATGAATGATCCTTTAATGAGGCAATAACCTCAAAGTAATAAAGCAATCAGTTTTCTTACTGTAAAATAACAGACATGTTTATCTTGTTGTTGTCTGTTTTGACTGTTTTCTGGCCCTAACTGACCCTTGCTCACATGTTCCAGATTTCTTCAATTATGAGGAGTCACTTTAGATTTAGATAAAGCTCTCAGAACATCTTAGTCTTTAAAGAAAACATTACTAATTAGAAATATCAACATCTGGATATGTTACCAATTGTACATTAGAGATAATCATGGATAGATGTCCTACTGGTGTCGTATATAATGAAGTAGTGTTATAAACCAATGCTTATCAGTACTAAGGTATGACATCACAAAACATAGGCTATTAGATATCAAAAATAAAAGGCAAAATATATAAGAGGTCTAAAATATAAGGTATGATATATAAGAGGTCAAAAGTAAAAGGCAAAAGATAGAAGAGGTCAAAAATAAAAGATCTAAGTTATAAGAAGTTCAAAATAGATATAGGAGGTTCAGAACATAAGTTATAAGTAATGTATAAGTGGCCCAAATATAAGGTATGAGATATATTAGGCAAACAACCTAAGAGATCAACAATAGATACAAGAAGTCCAACTTGTAAGGTACAAGATATATAAGAAGGTTAAATATAAGATGTAAGATATAAAAGGTCCAAAATAGAAGGTCTAAAAATTGAAAAAAATATACTGTATCAAATATAAAAGGTCCAAGATATAAAGTATACAATATTTTTAATATTCTAAAATATGAGGTAAAAGAGGTATGAGGTAAAAGATATATTTCCAAAATATATAAAGAGGTCCACAATAGAAGGTGTAAGATTTGAGAGGTCCAAAATCTGAAAGAACGTGCCCTTTGGTTAGGCAATGCACTCTATAGTAAAGGCAATATTCTCTCTTAAAACAGTTCACATAGGAGGCTTGAGGAAGAATTTTAATAATTTGAACAAGCCATCATGTAGATAAGGGCAATGATATAAGAGCTTAGAGGTAAAGAACACAAGTGCTACTAGGAAACAGTCAATGTAAACATTAGCAAAATATTCTTGACATGTTGAGTGACATTTACTAACATGTTTACTTTGTTTACTCTAATGCAGTACAATTGCAATACACATATTAAAGAAGGTGGGGGATAATAAGTTGTCCCTATACTTCGTTTATGTAAAAATTCTTATCAAAAGTATCTCAGACAGATTTGATCACCATATTCCTTCCCATGACTTACAATCATTCGAAAGTACACACTGATCTTAACTAATAATATCACAATTTCTTTATAATAATATGCTCCCTTGATCCCACATTCCCTTCATAATATCTTTGTGCTGCAAGGAAATACTGTATTTATGGAACACAGTATATGCCAAATCCAACTTATCAATTACATCTACCATGCTCTACATATATTAAATGAAGGAGGGATAATTTGTAGTGACTAATATGTCATTGCAATGACATCAGAGAGTCAATAAAAGATATATATATATAATCAATCAGTTGTCCCTGAACTTACTTAATATAACATTTTTTATCAAAAGTATACTAGAAAGATTCAATCACCATAGTCCTTTCCATATGGCTTGTACCATCATTTAGCTGGCTAATGATGGATAAGTCAATTTCAATTAAACCTGAAAAAGGTGATTTTTGCACACTTTTCACAACATTTAGAAATGACATTTGATTTTTATTTGTCTGTCAATTTCTTTATGTCACACCAAAGGAAATATAATTTTTCACATCACAATTGTTTTGTGTTAATGTACTGTATATGCGCAAAATATCAGCTTTTAATTCTGTTGATACCTTTGTTCAATTGTGATATGGTTTTGATGTATTATCACAACTATAAATCATGAATTGTGAGTTGTGAGAGTAAAATATTTTCTAGAAATAGACTCTTTTTTGATGAGAATAATCAACTGAGTTATCATGCAGGGGAAGATGTCAAGCTATAGCCCACCCTTTAAGACCCTAGGTTTGTATCAGAACTTAAAAAGCCACAAAAACCACACTGACAGACCAAAGGCCATAATTCTTAAAACTTGGCTTTTAGCTCTTGGAAAGAGCAAAGGATATTTATTACTATGCAGCTATTACCTGTAAGCCGAAATAATGCCTGGAAAATGACTGCTTGTCTAGACAAATGCTCACATGTAACAGTTTTTTACTTTTTGCAAACCAATAAAATAAGAGTATACTGGACCCATCATTTTCTTTTTTGCACCCCCCCCCCTGCCTTCTAGAAACAATATGTGAGTATGGATGTAAAGGTCAACACCAACTAAATAATTTTTTTTTCAACCCACCCACCCTCTCCCCTATATTTTCATTAAGCCCCAAACCGTTTTATTGGGGAGAATTTTCCTTTTTATCATATGTTGGATCTACAGTCTGTTTCAGACTCTGAAAAATTAGAATAAAAAAAAACTACTTTTATATTCATGCACCCTATTAGAACTATGCATTAAATTACCACTTTATATGATTTAATTCCTATGAAAGGGATTCATAATGCATCATGCTTTATGAATGAATCATATATCACCCTGTAATCCAGTAACCTTCCAGTCTCTCAAAAATGTGAAAAGTGCTATGCCCCCTCCTATCTACATCTATGTATGTACAAAAGTTGCCCACTTTATATTTATGACACACACCTTTAACAAAAGTATCAGACGGGTCTATAATGATTTTTTTATTTTTCAAATATAGTTTATTCCAATTTAGGTTTTTACGATACAGAAATACAATGATACAATTAATTACAATAATGTATAATGAGTTATGTTTTAATCATTTTCCATTTGTTTTTAAAAAATACATTTTTACGAGTACAGATTTCAAAATTTAAAGTTTTAATAGTGCCTTCAAAATTACGCTTAATACCATTATTCAGTTTTTGAATATATGTTTTATATATAACAAATGACACAATACTTATAAAATAGTTTAAAAATTCAGTATGACTGTCATTTCCATCGTAACCAATTATCAATTTTCTGTAAGTTACTCTTAACCCTGAGATATTATAAATATGTTTCCAAATGTTTTGAGAATATGAGCATGAAAATAACAAATGTTTCAAGGTACATAATTCATTACATAAACTACATTTGTAGGTTTCACTTTTACCAAATATATATAAATCACTAAGGCTAGGAAGAATATTGTTGATTATTTTAAAGTTGAAATTACCTATTTTCTTTTCTTTACAACTTATTTTTGTAGAGAAAAAGTTTTGCCAATTTATTTCATCATTGGCTTCATAGCAAAACTCTTGTTCCCATTTCCTTTTCATAAACCATTTTTCCGATCGTTTGTTTTTTAATATTTCATAAAAGAATTTGGATTTCTGATTATTCACAGTGATAATCACATTATTTATATTAAATTTAAAAGTATTATGAATATTTGTATACTTGACAGATTCTAAATTGAATCTTTCTTTCAGTGTGCCCATGGCTGATAAAACTCTGTAATATTCAGATATCCAATTTTGTTTATTTACAAGTTTTTGATATAACATATTAACATCAAGGAACCTGTTCTGAATTATCAAGTCTTTTATGTATATAATTCCACTTTTGATCCATGATTCAAAGAAAATTGGTTTATTTTTGACGGTGAATAATTTGTTTCCCCATATAACCTCTTGCAAGAGTTCATGTTGCTTCATATCTCTTATATTTTTGATGCATTTACATAAACAATGTGCTTCCAGCACTTGTTGATAAAAAAGTGGAACATTTTCAAATTCTTTGAATCTAGTATCATTTATCTTGAATAATACATCTATATTTGGAAGAAATTTATTGAAATAGAAGTAAGGGATTTTATTGTACATGTTTTGATTATGCAAACGGGGGATCCATGCTGCTTTAAGTGCATGTATTTGAGACTCTAAGGCAATCATATTTATTCCACCCTTATTAATATTATTTATGATTATAGATCTTCTTATTTTGTCCTTTTTTCCATCCCATAGAAATTTAAATACAAGATTGTTTACTTTTTTTATAATCTCATGTGGCACAGATAATACTGATGCTGCATAAATTAATTTTGGAATTGCCAGTGATTTAATCACTGTAACTTTGCCAAAAAGTGTTAAGTATCGGTTCTTCCAGCTGTCTAATATTTTTTCTACCTTTTTTACTCTATCTTCCCAGTTTAATTCATAACATCTTTGTTTGTTGTGTCCTAAAAAGATTCCTAAATATTTGATAGGTTCATCAGTAAAAGTTATATTTTCACATTTCTTTTCAAAGTCCTTATTTTTTCCAAGCCAAATGCCTTCAGTTTTTTCTATGTTTAACTTCAGACCAGAAAATTTTGAAAAAATTGGAAATAGTATTAAGAGCATTTTTCAATGACTCTTTATCTTTAATGAAAAGTGAAGTATCGTCCGCATATTGGGACATCTTATATTCTTTACCATCAACAGTTATACCTGATATATCATTATTTTGCTGAATTGCTAAGTTCATAACTTCGCAACATAAAATAAATGCCATTGCGGAAACGGGGCAGCCCTGTCGACATGAGCGTTCAACATCAATATTTTTTGATAACCATCCATTTTGCTTAATGTTTAAGAAAGGTTTTTCGTATAAAAGTTTGAGCCATTTTATAATCTTATCACTGAATTTAAATTTTTTCAACGTTTCATACATAAAATTCCACTCTATACTATCAAACGCTTTTTGGAAGTCAAGAAAGATTATAGCGCCACCTATCTGATTTTGATTTTCAAAATATTCAAATACATCTAATACCAGTCGGCTAGTATTTCCTATAAAACGACCATTAATATAAGCCATTTGTTGCATACCAATTAATTTACCTATAACCTTTTGTAGTCTTTTTGCCAAGATAAAAGCTAAAATCTTATAATCTGTATTAGATAATGATATTGGACGATAATTTTTTAATAGTTCACGGTCTCCTTTTTTGAATAACAAAGATATGATAATTTTACGAAATGACGTTGGTAAGATTCCAACTTCATATGACTCATTAATTGCTTCTATAACATAAATATGTATATCTTTCCAAAAGCATTTATAGAAGTCAGTGGTTAAACCATCTGATCCTGGGGAAATATCTTTTTTCATACTGGAAATAACAGGTAAACACTCACTATTATTGATAACACCTTCAAGGATGTCATTACGGGTCTATAATGATAAATAGAAAGTATAATGTATAATAAATACTGATGAGGATAATTCAAACCATGCCTCAACCATTATCCAAAAATACTAATTTAAGTATGCCAGCTTGTGATGTGCCTGATGGAAGTCAGTGCTGACTGTAGCTGTAAAGAAAGAAACTGACTAAAGCCCCATCTGTGCTGGGAGACTGGAAGGTCTTCACTGTGCCTACAAAGTAAACAACAAGAAGACTAACTTGAGTGGCTCAAGTAAGAAGTAATGAAGAAGACTTGAATTCCAGGAACCAAGTACCTGTAACTCTGTGGTCCTCTGTAAGACTTGAGGGAGATCTCGTGCCCCGAGCTCCCCCGTGGTTTTGTGGCAATAACTGCAAACTGACCAAGCCAAGAAGGAGAAAACAGAGCCCTCCTAGCAAAATGGGGGGTGTAAAGAGGGAGGAGGTGGGCCAAAAATGAGAAATATAAAACTGTATCTGGGCCGAATTAACTTAAGCGAGAGAGAGGCTGTGATGGTCTCGTTTTGAAAGTGGGTCAGACGACAAAGGGCAATTATCGCACCCTGAATAAACAAACCAGGAAGTAATAGGTAGGAAATACTTAGAACTGAACATCCCAACAGGCTAATTATCATACAACAATTATCTTCCCATTTGCTCAATTATCTTTATTGTTTAAACACTATAATTGCCTCATTCTATCAAAAATTAATTAAAAATCTGATTTTTATATTGGTCACGATAATAAGATATGTGAAGAGCTTAATTAGAATCCAAAAACTGTTTGAATCAAGGAAACATTGGGAAAATACAATCAAAATATATAAGTATTTCAAAATGTGTTTGCAACTTCAGTACTAAGATGTTCCAATTTTATAATTGAATGAACAAAATAAAATTATTTATTCATTTCTTTGGTCTCAAAATTGTGTACTTAGAAACTTCATTGATAAGTCTTAGATGGAACCATAAAAACATGTTTTAGGAGAAAAGTACCCGAACTCCCCTGAAAATATTGGGCAACCCTCTATTTGATTACTTAAGTAAACGTTTTTGCCAATATTGGTCATGCACTATTGAGATATTCCTTGGAGATACTTGTATGTTTTTAAGATTTGCTGTTGCTTTTACATCTCATTTGGAAAACATTGAGCTTTTCTTCTTAAAATAAAGGTATATATGAATGCTTGCATAATGTCTGAATACAATAACTCATTGCTGGCCAAAGCTATTTTTGGAAGTTTTGTACTGGTGACTGGTAATTTTGATGGAAAATATCTTGGGGTTGGTCAGCAACGAGATAAGAGTAAAGTTGCATATAAAACTGCTCATGTCTAACAAATCCTCATCGATGATTTTATTGACAACCAGTGCATTTATTTTTTCACAAAACACACTTAAAGTGAAAACTGGCACATTAATATTGCTCTCCATGTTATGTGTTGGAGACTGTTGTACCTTATGTTTTTGCTCTTTACATCTTATTATGGGGGGGGGGGGTTCTTACACACTATGGTTTGGGAGATCTTATGTCTCATTTTGATAGATCCTACCATTGTCTTTGTGCAACTGTCACATAGTATTGAGAGAATTCTATATACTATATTCTATATACATATAAATGACTCAGATCTGACATAAGCATCTCATATCATAGTGCTACAAGTTCCTGTGGCACTGTGAAAGTCATTCTTGAAAAATTCATGAAAAAATAAAATTCATAAAAGGTGTCCTATTAAGTCAGTCTGACAAGGTCACATTGAACACATCTGTTTCAGATTATGACCTCACCTTGTTAATTCCAGTTATTCATTATCACCAACTTCCACTTCCAGTATCTTACTAAAAATAGTCCTATGCCTCACATAGTAATTTTTTGATCAAACAGGGGAATCCCCTTTTACAAGTTAATGTTCAACCAACACATAAATCGAGGTATTATAGCTTGGCAAGTTGCCAATGATAATAAGTTCTGGGAAGTTGGCTTGGCCATACAAAAATGTAGAAAAAGTCGGGAATTCCACTTTCTGGGATTTGGCTGTATTTGTGCATCAAAATAACTCTGAATTCTAGAAAGATTTCTGAAGAAACAAGTCCTCTTATTGCATCTGAATGTGTGGGCAGATTTGATGGACATTTAGCCTTTAATGGTCAATATTTATCCTTCTTGAGAATTAACACTGATAAGCCAAGAAAGTCTGTGATATCTTTTGTTGAGGTAAGTGGATATATTTTTATTCTATTGAACAGAATCACTACTTTGTATATTTCTTCAGTGGTCATTTTCTGATAAAACTAGAAAATGTATGTAATGTATGCTAGCAGTGTTCTTTCTTGAAGACTTGTGGTTTGTTTTACAGACCAAAATGGACATTGGATACTTGCTGATTAGTTAGCTTTTTATTGATCCAGATGCAAAATGCAGTATTTTGGTGAAAATTTTAATGAAAAAGGCAACCATTTCAATCTAAAATTGTAAAGGCCAGGCTTATAAAAAGTGAATAATTCGAAACAAAAATTACATTAACATGCAAAATGTCACCACCTGCCATTTGTTGCAGATGCCAACAGAAAACTAAATGCTAGCCACCGCCTACAAAAAAGTTGGACCACATCTGGTGGCAACATAGAAATGCTTTACATTTTTTCCGATTGTGAGCAACATATTCCATGATGATACAGTTCTGCCAGAACAATTTTCAAAGGGTCGAGCTAGGGGGGTTTTGAAATTGAGTCCCCAACCTTAGACTGAGAAGATGCTTAACCGAGGGAAAATTTGTGCAAATTAATTGAATCAGTCATTCCTGAGGCCTCATTCACAATGTGTCGCATCCTATGCGATTGCGACATCGCAATCGCCATCGCAAAAATCGCTGAAATTCTTATTCACAATCAAAGTGCGATTGCGACTTAGCAATTCAATCGCATTAATAGCGTCATATAAATGCGACTACCCTCTAGCAGCCGCAATACAGTCGCAATATTAAGGGTTGCTTTATGTTTTGATTAAATGCGTTTAGCGTTCTCAGAATTATTTGCTATTTTAATACAACGTATTTCAGTATACTAACCAACATACGATTTTTAAAAAATCGTCATTTCATGTGTTCTGACGAGATACTAAGAGTCTAAAGTCGTCTTAAATAATGGAAGAATATTTTCAATATTTCATCTAAAATTGCTATCAATGAATCGCAATGTTATAATTCCCGCCATTATCAGTCGTCTGAGACACTGTTAAACGAAATGGCGATGATAGCGGTGAACCGCAGACAGCATCTAGTGAAACCAAGATTATTTCGCGACAGAACACATCCATTGGCTATTTACGATGATAATGAGATGATCGAGAGGTATCGTCGTTGTATGAGGGAATGGACATGAACTTTAATTCCATTAATAGATAAAGAGTAAATTGTAAAAATACGGAGGAGTGAACGATTTTAGGCAATGAAGGGGATTGATGGAACGATTATTGGAAAACAGCTAACATAAACTAAGTTCCTAGAAGATATAATTTTGAGAGGGTTGAGCGGGTCCCCTCCCATACCCATCAAAATAGAATTTAGAAACATATCTTGGGATAGAATCGAATAAACTACTCAAATAAATGGATGTTGGGTCTATAAAATCATTTAACTGTTTAAACACAACAATTTTACTTTATTCAACACATTGCTATCCTAATGCGATTGCTATTGCTACGCGATTGCGATATCACGTCATTGTGAATACCGTGCCAAAATTGCGATGTCGCAATCGCATAGCAATAGCAATCGCATTCAAATTGCGATGCTTTGTGAATAAGGCCTCTGGTCAGCAATATAGCAAGAGGGGAGGGGGTTGTGACATTTTGAATATATTTCTTATTTCTTGGGTTTGTATGCAGAAATGTTGACCTTGACCATAATACTTGTTTATGGTATACTGTCAATATAAATCAAATAAGTTCCTACCGCTGTTTTATTAATCGATACAGAGCAAATGAATACATACTTTTTTATATTGACATGTCTAGCTTAGCATATAAAAAAGAATGTAAAGAAGTTATCGTGACCATTAAGGTTCATCTGACATATAGGTGTTAACATATGGATTCCTGGCAAAGAAATATTTTAAATTTTGAAAATATTTTTATTCTCATATGGTGAATCAATTTACAATAAACAATGGCAAAAATTAAGCTGTCCAAGTAAATGTTGCAATTTTGTTCTGAATTTTGAAACATTGAATATAATTATTGTTATTGTAAGTAATAAATAGAAAGGGAAGGTAACCTTTTTGATGTTTTGCAAATAATATTTCTCTTTTAAGAATATACTTATATACAACAAATACAGTATATAGACAGCTATTCTAATATTCAATTATTTCTATTGATTAATGTTATTAGGCCAAATAGGCTTTTAGTGGCAAGGGGTATACAGTGCCTACATGTAAAACTATTTTAACTTCCTCCTTCTCAGAAGTCCACATCTGAACCCATATATTGAGAATCATTAAAAAGGAACTTGATCTTGTTGAATCTTCATAAGTGTGCCACGTGATTGTAATCTTGAACTTGAAGTTCTAATTATAATAACATGTGTTGATGACCTTATGTTACAAACTGATAACGGAACTGTTGAATAAAGTCCTACGTTGGTCACAAAGTTATTTTACACAATGGCTGCTTCTAATTCACTGAAAGTAATAAAATATGTATCTAATGGGAGTAAAACAATAAACAACATAAATCAAGGATGCCAAAGTAGTTTTTGGAGACATTTCTTATGAATAAGTCCTTTTGATAGTCTAAATATCATAAAAACTGTCAAGAACTTTTCAGCACGTAGAGTTGATTTGACTACATCATTTCAATCTCAAAATATAAGCAGTGGCATAGCGTGGGTATTTTTGAGTGTACGCCACGAGGGAGCGAAGCCGAACGATCTTTGAGGGGGGTTCGGGGGTGGGTCCTCCCCCAAGAAAATTTGAAAATGAGATTGCAGTTGAAATGTTCTGGGGCGTTTTAAAATACGAAATTCCGACGAAATGGACTAATGACATTTAAATTATTGGTCATTTTATCCATTTTTAAACTATGTGAGGCATTTCAATCTAAAAATCAACTTTTCTCTTAATTTTGAGAGTATGCCATGGCGTTTTATGCGTCTATGACGCTACGCCATTGATAAGTGTCCTCTAAAGACCTGTGAATTAAGGTTTTTCTTTCCAAACAACAATTTTGAATAAAATGCTATACCTGCCCATGTTATTTTCTGGTACAAAATAAAGTATGTAGGCATGTGTGTATTTCCTTGCTTTTTTCAGGAAAGTATCATAACATTGTCTTCCCTAAGTAAACCTAGTAAGTGGTCAATGGAAATCCAGTGTTATTGAGAAATTTGGAAAATTGAAAAGGTGGTCATTTTGTAATGCTTTTTCTTGAAATATTAGCATTTCCTGGAGTTGCCATTGACCTGTTACCAGATTTACTAAAATAAGACATTGCAAAGATACTTTCCTGAAAAAGCAAGGAAATACACACATGCCTTCGTACTTTATTTTCTACCAGAAAATAACATAGGCAGGTACAGCATTTACTTTCAAAAATGTTGTTTGGAAAGAATAACCTTAACCTAAAGGTGTCTTGCACGATAGTCCAATGTGTCCTCCTGGGACCTGTGGAGTCCAATGAAGTCCTGTCGAGTCCAATGGAGTCCTCTGTGAAGACCATTGAAAGAATGTTCATTCCAAAGTCTGGCGGTCTTTCCGTAGTGGACTCCATCGAACTTTATGAGACTCAATAGGCTATCATCAGATTTTATAAAAGACCTGTCAAGACCAATCAAGACAAAAGTCCTGTGAAGTCCATTTAAAAATCAAGAGACCAGCAAAAGACTGGTAGTCTTTTCTTCCAAATAAATTGAAATAAACAGCGGATCAAAAAAGACTGGTCAGTGTAAACCAGGCATAAAATGACAGCCTCTGAGTAACCTTACCAAACTGACTTATCTTGGCCAGTTTTTCCTGTATGTGCAAGTGACTTTTTGAGTGTAAAAGAATGATTCACAATATTATATCTCTAGAAGTACTGGATGAATTCTTAACATTTCCAGCTTTCGAATGCCCAATTAAGAGCTCCTAACCACAGTCAAATTTCTGAATAACTTTAATAAGATTGTGTTTGGCCACCCTTTTCTTATTGCTAAAAACTAATGAGAGAAACTAATCCTTTTCCAAAAGAATCATGATACAAGGCATTAACATGACGAATGTCACAACCTAGTTGCTCACAATATTATGAGTTCAATCTTAAGTCAGATTTGAATTTCTGAGAAATTGTAGATGATTTTGAAAAAATAAATTGGTCAATTTGAAGCAAATTGAAAAAATATATTTTTGACCCTGAGAAGGTCATTGAAGGTGAAATCTCAAATCTATAGTTAGATTTGAACTTCTGAGAACTTCTAGATGATTTTGAAAAAGGTCAATTTGAAGCAAGATAAAAATAAATTTTTTGACCTTGAAAATGTCATTGAAGGTCAAACCTAAGTCAGATTTGAACTTCTGATAACAAGTAAATGATTTGAAAAAAATTTGGTCAATTTGAACAAAGTTGAAAAAAGACCATTTTAACCTTTTATGATTGAAGTCAGTCTAAACAGTATATCTATTTGTTAAGTTATTGGAAGTTGTAAGAATTTGTTACAGACCAACCGCCAATCACCAACTGCCAACCACCAAACACGGAGATCATAACAATAAGTCACCACTTCTTGGTGGTAACCTAAAAACTCAAAATTCAAATTTCAATTGGTGAATGAGTCATTTAATGACCTTTTAAGACTCTAAGACCAATGGGTCACATATCAAACTTTTATATAAAAAATGTAAGCAAACCCTATAGTTTGGGCTGCAAGGCTCATTTAAAGGCCACCTGTAGACATTTGGCTTGGCTCTGGCTTTTGAGAGATCATGGCCACTGGAGCCCAACAGACTGTTTTTGGGGGATTATGTCCTAATTGGGACGCACATAGCTTATTGGGGCCACTGGCATCATGAGAGATCATGGCCTTCTGTTTGCCTCTTTCTTGTTGAAGGCAGAAAGATATGATAAGTGTCAAAATGGCTGCTCTTTGGCGCATTGGCTGACATATTGTCAAGCAGCCTTAATTTACTTACAATTATTTCAAACATCAGATAAATCCTTGCTACTTGGGACTTGTCCATTTCATAAAACATATTCCAAAACAATGTATATATCAGTTGTGTCATTCAAGAACTAATACTAAAACTAAATGTAAATGTTGACATTGGGATATTTGAGATTTTGGCTTTTCCAAGATTACTTTTTTCGTGGCTTATTTCTTCTTATGGCAAGTTGTGTTTAAAAATCGAAAATAAAAGGTGGTGACAACACAAAAATAATGACGAATGAAACATATTTGTAAATGTGTCATATCATAACTAATATTTCTATTAATATGGGGACTTTACTATAACAACATTATTTCTATTGTCAGTACTATAGCAACATCATCATTTCTATTATTTGGGTACTCGACTAGTATTTGTAACAAAACTTATAAATACACCTATGAAACATGATATTACACTTATGTTTCCCCCACCCCCTTGTAATACCACCTTCTGGTCACATGCCAAATCTCAGATAATAGTAGTTATATCCACATGCCTCTATTTATTATAATATGTGATTCATTCTAATATAACAATGTTTGAAAAATCATCATTCAAAAAATTTTGTGTCACCTTAAGTCTACCTACATATATTTCTAGATGTTGACAAATATGTACTGTTTCCACAAAAGTGACTGCCATACTTGTAAGTAGGCATCCTATGTTTAAATGTTACTAAATTATTACTAGTTGAACCCAATGACCTGTAATACTCATTGACATAGATGAAGTATTAATATGTAACATAGCTCCGTATAAACAGTAGTTAAAATATAACTTCCCCTTTTTTAGTCAACTTCTGGGACTTGCATAAATCTGAGAGATTTCAACAAAGATGACTCTGTCAATTCACTCAAAACCTCGAAGACGATGTAGAAGGCTGACAAGAACAACAAGAAATGATACAAGGAGCAGGCGACTAGACAGATGCACATCGCCTCTCAATGGTATCACCAATGGTCAAGCTAGCCAGAGTACACCCAGTGGACGGAATATTTATCGTCGTCAGTTTGTAAAGCAAAATAGAATTAAACGTGAAAGCACATCTTCAGACGACAGCTGTTGTACCAAAGAGGAATTCTATGCTGGCAGGGCTCGTTGTCGTAACCCAATGGAGCGAGAGAGAATGCGACCATGGCTCATTAGAATAGTGGACAGTGGAAATATGCCTGGAGTAAAATGGGTTGATAGTGCAAAAACTAAGATCAGGATTTCCTGGATTCATGCTGCTAGACATGGTTATGAACCACCAAAGGAAAATATTTTCAAAGCATGGGCAATTCATTCAGGTAAAAAAATATATAACATAATATTAGGTAACATAATATAAATATAATGTTCTTAATCTGATTATATATTTTACTAATGTTAAACTGTTATTGGAATTTATGTCACCAATGTTTTGAATTTGGTGCAAAAAAATCCAAAAACATGTTTTTTCATCGCATTTTAAAACTTTTTTTTACATTTCTTATCATATTCATACTATCCATGCAATGAATTTTTATACTGCTGGCAATTATTCAATTCTGACACTGTAGATTTTAGAAACAATTTTCAAGTATGCCGGGACAGAATATTTAGCACCGAGATGACACCCAATTACCAAGAATTAAGCATTCTAGTTGAACTTCAAAAACTTATGCTAAAAGCATATATTTTCAGAAAAATTTATCTCATACATCCAATTATTAAGTTTTTTTGCATACATATTTATGGTGCTGTCGGTATGAGAATTACCGAGAATCTTACTTTCTTTCGGAACCTTAGATTTACGCATACTATATAAAATATAAAATCATGTTGCATTATTTCATTCAGTTTTATACTTTATCATATGTTAATACAGCAAAATTCTTACTGCTTAAGATAAAGAAAACTATTTGATAAAAACAAATTAATTATATAATATAAATATAATGTTCTTAATTTTATTATATATTTTACTAATTTTACACTGTTATTGGAATTTATAAAGATAAAGAAAACTATTTGATAAAAACAAATTAATTATATAACATAAATATAATGTTATTGGAATTTATGTCACCAATGTTTTGAATTTGGAGCAAAAAATCCGAAAACATGTTTTTTTCATCGCATTTTTAAACTTTTATTCTACCATTTTTCATCATATTCATACTATCCATGCATTGAATTTTTATACTGCTGGCAATTATTCAGTTCTGACACTGTAGATTTTAGAAACAATTTTCACGTATGCCGGGACAGAATATTTAGCACCGAGATGACACCCGATTACCAAGAATTAAGCATTCTAGTTGAACTTCAAAAACTTATGCTTAATGGACATATTTTCAGGAAAATTTATTTCAGACATCCAATTATTAAGTTTTTTGCATATATTTATGATGCTGTGGGAATGAGAATTACAGAGAATCTTACTTTCTTTCGGAACTTCACAAACTTAGATTTACGCATACTATATAAAATCATGGTGCATTATTTCATTCAGTTTTATACTTAATCATATGTTAATACAGCAAAACTCTTACTGCTTAAGATAAAGAAAACTATTTGATAAAAACAAATTAATTATATAATATAAATATAATGTTCTTAATTTTATTATATATTTTAGGCTACTAATTTTACACTGTTATTGGAATTAATGTCACCAATGTTTTGAATTTGGAGCAACAAATCCAAAACATGTTTTTTTTCATCGCATTTTTAGACTTTTATTCTACCATTTTTTACATTCTTTATCATATTAATACTATTCATGCATTGAATCTTTATACTGCTGGCAATTATTAAATTCTGACACTGTAGATTTTAGAAACAAATTTCAAGAATGCCGGGACAGAATATTTAGCACCGAGATGACACCCATTTACCAAGAATTAAGCATTCTAGTTGAACTTCAAAAACTTATGCTAAAAGCATATATTTTCAGAAAAATTTATCTCATACATCCAATTATTAAGTTTTTTTGCATACATATTTATGGTGCTGTCGGTATGAGAATTACCGAGAATCTTACTTTCTTTCGGAACTTCACAAACTTAGATTTACGCATACTATATAAAATATAAAATCATGTTGCATTATTTCATTCAGTTTTATACTTTATCATATGTTAATACAGCAACATTCTTACTATACTGCTTAAGATAAAGAAAACTATTTGATAAAAACAAATTAATTATATGTAAGATTTGTGATAGACAAAGAAGGGCGACACATTTGTTTTTTAAGATGATTTTGCCAAAATTGAGGATTATAATTACTTTAGTACTAAGTGTAATAAATACACACTTAATTAATTATCATTTAGACAACTACATATGTTGCCGGATTACTGAGAATTTTGGACTTGAATTACATTTCAACAACTGAGTAAAAATAATTGTGTTTTTTTAAATTTATTTTAGACTAATTAATTGAACTATTAACTTGTCAAAAAGAACAGTATAAAACACACATGAAAAATAGGCTTCAAAATTTAATTGCAATTCTGTATAGAAACTATTTAGTAATTTGCTAGAATTATTTATCATAATTAAATGAAAACAATATATTATATACAATTCTGGATTTCTTAACAGAACTTTGAACTCGAATTGTACTTCAATAAAATTGTAAATGTAGGTGCACATATTTAACTGTAATCAATGATACAGAATTGAACTAACACTGATCTTTTAAAAACTAAATTATTATTTCTCAATATATTCTCAGTTACATAAACTTAAAAAATATTATTATAATAACATTTATTTGTACACTAATGCCAAATTCTAAATGGATCTAGATTCAAGTACAACAACATGCCTATAAGATACACAGTAGTCTATACATGAACTATATAATACTTAACTGTTTTACATATCATTATCTTGATACAAGATATACATTAACTATACATAAACTTGATATAAACTACATTTTTCATATCATTTTTATACAACATACTCGACATGATAATATAACTCATATGATAATTTAATTTGAACTGATTTCAAAAATATTGGCAAATATCTTTCAAATTAATCATTGGAATTAATTTGATAAAAAATTTATACTGATTCTAACATGATTTAGAAAATGTTAGCATGTTACACAATACAAATATACATCCTCCGAACACAGGCCTCAAGAACTTGTACCTCCTTCTTCCAAGAAGGAAGAAACGTAGCGGATGGTGTCTATGTCTACGTTCGGAGGATGACAAATATACCAATGGCTAAAAATTATACAACAAATCAACTTATATATTTTATGAAGATGACTTTGATTTGCCATAACAGAATAATAATTGCACAAATCTGAGATTTCTGTAAAACTGAAACATCAAATTATCTTTGACATCAAATTCTATAACCATCATGTGTGGCCACGCAGAGCATGCCTTAAACATTCTCCAGTCATGGGGAGAGAATGTGTTGTCGTTGGGGCAATCTGCACCAGGTCGCCTTTGCATTTTATTTCGCTAATTTGGACATGTTGAAAATGAATGAACTTCATCTTCTTCTTGATAGAGCGGTCTACCCCAACATTTTGAAATTTACTGAGTAGAAAAGTAAAGTGAATACCTCAGCAATTTGAGATTGTCAAAACTGTTGTGACCAGGGGGAAATATAGAAATGAATGTTAAAATTGTTTAGGTAAGAAATAGAGAATAGTTAAGTGTTAAAAATTATCAGCAATCAGCTATCAATGTAGGGCTGAAACATGGTTCCTTATTGACATTTGAACCTCCAACAGCATCCAATTTGTTAATGTAATTAGTCATATAATTGTGAATATACAGTAAAAACTTATATATTTAAACAATTTCAAAAAATCTCTAAAGCATACAGATATTAGATCAAGCAATTTACTCCTAATTTTTGAGAATATTGATATCTTTAATGCGTCCTTTTATCTCTTACCCATATCTTTAATAGAAAATGTGGGTGGGTGATACAAATGACCACCTAGAATGGCCAGATTAATAGACCCAACTTGTAAATAGAAATATAGATTATAATATATTGACATCCAACATGAATACGTTTTGTTCAATTCACAACAAGCAGTTCTAGGGAGTATCACAAAATGTATTATATCTAGTACTTTTATACACATTGTTGACGACAACCAAATCAAATCGTTAAACCATACTTGCTGTAATAAACAATTGTACTTTTGAAATTTCAAAGGAAATCCCAAATCCCAAAGGGACAGTTGGAAATATACTCATGAAGAATAAAACAGTAGACCGGTAAATAAGTTTTTATCCCATGATATTCAAGAGTGATTTCATGAAATCAATTTTAAGTTATAAGTTTTTCAAATTAGAAAAAGGGCAAAATATAAGTTCAGCCCATAAAAACTCCTGATGAATAAAGTTATTTGGAAAATATTGTCTACATGATACCAGTGTTACTTACAATACAAATCTAGCTGAAGGAAATATAAGGCACAGATGATATTGTTTGGCAGAAATTCCCTGGAGGTCGATAACATTTTTGTGCAAGGTTTTGGAAGTTTTTACAACTTTTTGTTAATATTTTTACTATCACAGATATGCCCTGGAGTTATTCACTAAGAACTATATATCTAGTAGTATCATGGAATAAATGACAATATGATACTGAAATGCAGGCTTTTGAGAAGAGATATGAGTAAGGGAATATCACAGAAAGAAAGATGATGAGTTAAGAAAAATACCCAAAATTATTTCAGTATACAATATTATCCTGGCAATATCCTGGGTGATAACAGGTTGGAAACCAAGTCAGTAATTGTTAGGTTTATTTATTTGAGAGCCAAATTGTTGGTTTCAAGAAATATTGCAACAGTTGTCATAATGATTGAGTTCTGATCTAGAGATAAGTCAAGACATCCATGCTTAAATAAATTCAGGTAATTCTTTTGATTTCTCTATTCAATTTCTGCTACTTCTGTGATACCTCTAAATAATTTTATCTTGCTGCAGTTAGAAGTGAGCGGTGAAAGAAAACAGTCAGGAGTATCTATAAAATTGAATAATTGGTTGAAGAGAAAAACATTGTTGAATTCAGTTCACCATACCAATACCAATCATTTATATTTTTCAGTATAATATTATTCTGATCAGGGAGAAGTGTATGAATTACACACATTTCATGATTTCAAAGAATTACAGATTTGAATTGAATTTCAACAACTCAATAAATTAATAACTATGATTTCATAAGCAATATATAACATTTAACATATGATTGATACATGAGAGGTATCTAATAAGTGCTCTAAACTGAATTGATTAAATATTATTATTTATTAAAAATTTACAAAA